AATGATGATCGATCTCGGGCGTTGCGAGACAATGCAAGCACTAATTCGAGGCTCTAGAACACGGTCTATGATGTTATTGTGGATCTCTTGCTTGTGTGGGTTGCCAAACGCCAGCAGCTGGGGGCCTAGTGGCACTAAGTGAACATTAACGCGCGTTATTTTTATTACCTCGAGAACTTCCACCAATGGTATTGGACGCTTGCACAATTATAGACGCCCACGCTAGCGTTTGCAAACGCGGTGGCTGCTCTGCTTCCTCGAAATTTCGATATGGACCTGCCAACTGGACATTAATGCGCCCTTAATGATGCATATTCATGTGTCTGCCTGTGCAATTTGGACATACAGGGCCTCTAGGAGGTGAAATGGTCCCAGATTTCCTAAAGGAGAGGACTGATTTGGCATACCCGCTTAATGATCTATCCAGCACGACTATGGTGGCTGGAGGGATCTAGCTGCACAATTGGCCACGATCATTTGCCTCCTGGAGAGAAGCAGGAGGCTGCCCGTCCATACAAGTCTTGATGCAGGTACACCCCCTGGTTCTTGAATGGAGATGACTTGCAGGATCTTGACTACGCTATACATTTGTGACAAGCCATGCTGCAGGGCGAACGCGTAATCTCACAGTCCGGTAAACTGTCCTACCGCATCTCAATCTCAATCTCGCCCACTTCCTCACACTCGCTGATTGGTTGCATCCCCTGTTGGTGAAGCAAGGGAACGCTTCGCTATTCTATCCCTCCTGGCGGCAAATCCCTATAATCCGAAAAGGAAGAGCCATCCACATCGCGAGGCAGGCAGGGATGACGGGCAAACGAACGTAATCAAAATTCACCCCCCTAGCTGAGCAATATTCCCCTCGGACCTACGTTATCGTAGTTGCAGACGACAAGGTTACGCCAACTGGTCCCCTCCTGAAATCTGATGGAACTGCTGTGGGGTAAACGATTTATTTGTCAATTGCACGCAGACGTCGTCAACGGGTAATACATGGTTTGAGACACAGCGACCACCGCCGAACTTTTTTTTTCTGGATCCGTTTTCACATCTTCAAAGAAACTCAAACAACCTTCGCCCCCGTCCCGTCCGAAATTACAGACACTATTATTGCATCCTGCCAATACTCCACCTCGTATTGGCCCTGTTAACCATATAAAACGCATTC